TGGTATATCTATACCTGGATATCTATAACGGGATATCCTCCAAAAACGTAAGGAGTACCTGTGTTATAAAATTCAAATACCAACGTCTATCATACGCTCGGGTATGATGTGAGGAACGATGATAAATTCATCCACAATGCTAACCCTGACGTTTACAGAGAATCTCTCTAAGCTATGTTACAAGCCCAAAGATGCAAATTGTTCAGATTAATTGTCCCAGTTCTTTTAAAACACGTTTCATCAGTCCAAAAAACTTGTTTCAGAAATTCACGGATCTCCTTGCATTTGCGCAGGAAATGTATATAATTCAAAACGCCGTTTGAAGTATGTACTGTGGAAATGCTGCATCCGCAGAAAATGGAAAGGTCGTAATCTCTCCGCATAAATTGTTTGCCAATGGTGGACTGTGATGTGTTGACTTGTGAACGCTTCCGGGTTTGCGCGGTTAGTATTAATACTCGTAACTGAGATTTGCAGAGAAGTGGCGAGGTGAAACCGCTCACTCTCTTGCCGTTGCTCATGTTACATGAGCTCAAGCGCATAGTCTAAAGTTTAAGGTTAATTATTTACTACACTAAACGACGCAGAGTATCAAAGTTTGGCAAATTCAGTCTGTCCATTACATATGGGAAAAATGTCCTGGCGTATTAGCAACGAGGACTGCACTACTCTGCATGAATATAAAATACGTAATATTAACTACAAGGCAATATTAATATACTCTCAGATACCTGCGGAGGATATGAGAAGTGCGCAGTAGCGTAGTTTTTGCTGTTGGTGTGCCAAACTTCAATGAAGACCTATGGTGCTCAGGTGTTTTGACAGCTCTCTGTATTTAGACATTACCAAATTGACAATCTTGTGACCATCCCTTTCCTACTCTTTCTAGATATTTTTAATTTCTCGCTCTCCTGGACCACTTTATACCGTTTGATACACCTCAAGGCAGTTAGAAGAGGCGGGATTTCGGATCTTTTATTGGGGAGAGGGGAGCAAATTTGGGCGCTATTACACACCTGAAAATATTCGTTTATATTAATGCTTTACGTTATTTGTAATGCAATTATACACACTCTTTCCAATTTCGTTAATTATTTTATTAATTATTATTGGATGTTATTAATTAGATTAGTTGAACACAAAGGTGACGATCCTCATTGTTATTTGAACGGTCAGAAATGTAAATTCAACGATGCATTTTTCCTCAGAGATTCACATACGGAAAATTTCAAAATGTTTATTATTTATTATGAACACATATATTTATACATAACTAGAGAATACATGTTTGAAAATCTGCGTTAATAAATTATTTTAATTAAAATGCAATCTTCTATTTTTAGCAAGATCGAAAGTAGTTGTAATGTTATTTATAGTGGAGATGATAATATGAACCCCCACTTTTATTTCGGCATTAAAAGATGAATTAAATGTTTTTTTTAACAAATGTGATAACTTATCTTATAAAAAATACGAACTTTATTAACTGTTCAGGAAGTGGTTACAAAATCAATTCAAAAGAAGTCATGTTTGAAAAACTATTTGTACTACAGGATGACACACACTTTCTTGTATTCGTTTTCTACTTTCTTTGGTCTGATCTAGGTTTTCGGATTTGCCACATACTCTTACTAGCTGCCATCTACCGCCGCCCAAAGTACATATTCATTAATTCTTGGGGTACATGAAGCACACGGAACATTTTCAAAATTTTCTCAAAAATGGCTCATTTTTTAAAATTTGTTTTAAAAAGAGGATGAAATACATCAATAAATATGCCATAGCTTTGATTTTCACTGATAACTGTGAATTTTTGAGAATTGCAAGAGATTGAACAATTTTTGGCGTCTTCCTACAACTACAAAATTGAAGACAGGGATTTTTCTTTTAAGTAATTTTTTGTCCATAACTAGTTCTTTTGTTTAGTTCACGCACATTTTCTGAAAAGTTTAATACTTTTCGCGCAATGTTGCGTCCAATTGTGTAATATTAAATAAAAATATTAAGGTTTTTCTCGAAAACGGCTCCAATTTTTTCTTTAAACTTTGATATGGATAGTGCTAAATGTACTCAATAAGATGCCATAAAAGGCCATTTTGTTCTATTCTTTTGCTTTTTCAAAAAAATACACAATATTTTTTAATATCTCTCATGCCGTTAAAACGTATGCACATTTCCGGCTATTTGTATACATTATTGCATTTCTGAATGGGAGTTCTTTAAACGACTTCCAATAAAGTTTTTCGAAATCTAATAGTTTTCTGTAAAAAAGAACTTCAAATTTCGTATTTACAGTAACGCTTAAACGCCATTTTCGTAAAAATAGCACCAACTTTTTCTCAGAAAATGTCTATAGGACGAGGATTCACTCTTCAAAAATATTCAAGTAATTTTTCGGTTCTGCGATTACGAAACGGAAATATTGAGCAAATGTGAAAAAATGATGTTTGGATGGCGACAAATGACAGTTCGAAAGAGGATGGGGTACGTCAGAAAAGCAAGCCCCCACCAAAGAAATTAGGAAACTAACTAGAACGAGGTCTGGGCCATTCTGTGGCATCACTAGTTCCTTCTTGGTTTTTCCTAGAACCTTTCGTGGCATCTGAAACAAAAATATGACGAACACAAGTTGTAGTGTATGTTACATGAGCCCATTAAAGTTTAGGGCACATATACGCACCAAGTTCTGCAATCTACAACCGATCTTTGATAGTTCGAAATTACTGATTTCAGGCAGAATCGGTCTACTAAGCAAACTCAAACTATAATTAAAAGTCAAAGACTTACCTACCAAAGAACCGAGAAATCAACGTACATTATTATTTTACATCAGCTCTCACTTACAACTAAACAACAGAGCTATGATGGCAAAAGGAGTCGTTAAAATCGTTCCTGCTAGAATGTTTGCGATGTATTAAAAGATACCAACGGGATTCATATTATGTAAATGGATCATATCACCATCTTTACCTCTATCTTTATTTATAATAAACGAGAAATACTCCTTTTTGAGTGTCAAAATTTGTGTGTTATGAATCATTCTTGGCGCGCGAAACTAATTTCTAAGTTAATAACGTTTCAAAGCAAAATGTAATTGAAAGAGGTTTTATTGATAAGGGACGAGCATATTCACAATAACGCTGGACATTATCCCGCAGGTTTTATAACACTGAACTTAAGTTAACCAATTTATTAATGTATGTTATTAGCTCAGCTTAACAAAATTATCGTTCGCTTTATTATTATTATTATTATTATTATTATTATTATTATTATTATTATTATTATTATTATATTTCTTCTCAAAATAAACTAGTTATCTTTTATTTATAAATTTAAAAATCCGCGAAATAAAATGCAAAAAAAATGTTTGTCCCTTAATTGGGGGAGGGTGCAGTAGCCCTCCCCCTAATTCCGCCTCTACCAGCTAGATAGAGAAACTGAATCCAGCCGTTGTTTACAGAAGAATTTTAGCTTCCGGCTGCTCTGATCGGCAGTTTTCCATGGTGTCTCCGATCAATACCAAGCGAATGCCGGAGCAGTACCTTCGAACCGGGCCACGGACCGTAGGGATCCTTCTTTTCTTATCCTCGTTCCTTACACTCTCCACTTTGTGATGAACCTCGTTCGGAAACTGACCGACTTCAGTGTATTCCGAGGAGGTGCGTCTCTTGAGTGAGGGAGATATTAAATTTACTTTATCATTGAAAGGAGGAGACATGGTGATTTAAATGATAAACAGATGTATATGAAAGTGGTATGAGAGAGAGAGAGCACGAGGGGTGGAGATAGAGGGAGACGTAGGGAGAAGGAGAAAGAGGGTGAGAGGGGAAGAGAGGGGGAGATAGGGAGAGAGAGAGAGAAAAAGGAGATCTGGGAAGTCAAGCCAATGTGCAGTCCTGGCAGATAATGTGGGTATCATTAAGCACAAAAAATTTCAAGTGGGTAAAACACTCACTCGCAAATACGTTTTGAGTCGATGCAATACGGAGAAACTTGCATATTTCTGTATTTACTTTGGTAAAGGAACTGCAGCAGAAAAAGAGCTTTATCCCTCAAAACAAGCCATATTATTTGTACTGACAAATTCATCACTTGTGTAAAATGTGCAGGAAAGTTACTAGACAACAAAATGTTTCTGACAGGGACTATTATGAAAAACAGAACGGGTTCAGATGCATCAAAATTAAGAGAAGACAAAAAATCTTTGCCTTGTAAAATGGAGACAGAAAATCTGTAACACTTCTGTCCTCATGCATTGGTAGCACTTCACAGGATATTAGTAAAAGATGTCAAAACAAGTAGGGGGGAAAATTTATATACTACGGCCTGTTGTTGCACAAGCATACAACAATAAGGTGGGCCACATAGATATCTATGAGACAGGTTTCGTTCTTATAACAGAAGCTCCATAAGAACTAAAAATTGACCAAGACAGTAGGCAGCCACTTATTACAGTGAATAGCAATGACAAGAGAATGTGAGGCAATTAAAGGCGTATTTCACTGTGTATAACATTATTGAATTTATTATCTATAATATAAGCTCATTCTTGTGGAATGTATAAATTACTATTAGTAGGACTTAATTAATTTTCTTATGCATTATTTTATATAGTGTATTGTTATTTATTTCTTGCAGGATGGTGACAAGTGTTGGGGTCCATTCCTGCCAAAACAAAAATTTGCCAATTTCAAGACATAGGTTAATCAAGACATAAGTTATTAAATTACAAATCAGTTGTGCAATCACTTTCTCTCTTCTTTAGTTTCTTTATGTTATTTGGATTTATCTGCTCTGGAAACTGTCATTACATCAAAACACTTTTGGTCAAATAACTTTGAAAACCTGATAGTTCTAGGGTCAGATATGGTGTAGAACCAATCGCTAAAGACTTGCTTCTTGAACTCCCTTTGGGAGAATGAAGATATGTGACCAGATGAACAAACATTCTTATCATGGATTTAGTGAGGAAAAGACAGAAAAGGAAAAAATCAATAACAGTTCCAACAAGAATAAAATATATTTTTTGGTGATTATGTGTTCAACCAACCAATCTAAAGCAAGTAATTTAAGAAAACCCAAACATACTCAACAGAACAACACAATGTTAGGTTACTTTTTTTTTAGTAAAAGTACACACATTTTACAACTGAACAAACTTAAACATCCTTAAAAAAAAAAAGGCATGGAAATTACATTCCAAACCTGTAAAGTATTCATCCATGACAGATGGTACATCGCTTACTTCATGACAACAAAATACCTAAACAAACACTGGAACTTAATATTTAAACATATGGGCAAAAAACACACACATTTCTCCACTTCCTAACTAACAATTGACCAAATTTTATGTGAATTTATTGACTTTAATAATCATTGTGTATGTTATCACAAAATATATTTTTAACTATTTTTATTAGTTAAGAATCAAAACGGTTCTGTATAGAAAATATATAGTAAGCATTGTTCTGTAGGCAGTGTTAGAATTTCAACCAATTTCATTATACTAACTCATGGAAGTTCTCTTTAAATCTATTAATAATCTCCAAATGGGGCCTATTAGAAAGAATACATGAAATATATTAATAACAAATGAACAATAATGAAATCACAACATAAATTAAACTTAAAGGAAATATCATATAGTTATGAATGGAGCATTTATATTAATCACTCTGAAAACCCTTATTAAAATCTCGTTTCTCTACATTTCACAAGTACATCAATGCGACATTCACAGCAACATCCAACTAAAGTACAACATTGACAAATATTTTGAAACTAAACCCTTAGGTTAATCATCTATTTTTTATGGAATACTGTTAACGCAACGGCTACTATTCCCAAATGGTACAAAAAGTACAAACTTACAAAACAATCACAAAATCTAAAAATTGTCCAGAAAGTTTTCAATTGATATGTATTCAATAATTAGTAAGGAAACAAAAAATGTTTCGTATGCACTGGCAAAAGTAGCAGTAATTACAAAACTATTACTCCAGATTTAACTCAGGCTGTCATGCATGACAGTTGGAGACTTCCAAATTATCAATTGCAATTTCTGAATGCCACAAAGAGTGGTCAAAAATATCCGTACTGTACTTGGAAATTCATGATATGACTGACTAGCATAAAAATTGAGTTTGTGCACACATTCATCATCATTTCAAGCTGTCTGCAAAATACTAAAACTTTATTCAATGAAAAGTAATTTTCATCCTTTAGTTAGTGAAACATATTTCCAAACATATTTTCAATTTATTAAACTGCTGATCAAGAGTATTTGCAAAGTAATGCTTTGGACAGGATAATAATTAAGCATTGTAGGTCAGTTATAAAAATACTCCAAATTATCTACATAATTATGACAGGTCTTTCCTCTTCTTTATCACTTTGTCCAGAATATTAGTTAAACAAGCAAAGGAAACAAAGATAGTTCAAGAGTTTAATCTCTAATATTCTTCTAAAAAGAGGTAGTAGAGACTAAGTTTATGAAAGAATTTAATTTACAAAAATAGATATTGTACAAAATGTCAGATCTTTTATACAAACAACAAATAACTTCATTTCTTGGAAATTCTCCGTAAACACGCTTCTGAAATTTACAGTCATAATGTTATCTCCATCTTAACATTCTTTGTAACAACCTACATTAAATATTTGTCAATACAGTCCTAATCCTCGAATTATACATAATACTCTGCTGAACACAAAAAGTGATCAGCCTGAGCTTTAGGAGCAAAATATTTGCTATTTCATAGCAGAAGTACCTTAATGTACAAACTCTGATAGTAGTCTACAGTTCATCAATAAAAGCTACATTACATGCACCCTTCAAAAGAACAAACAGGAAATGCACCAGGAAGATGAAATGGTAAAGACCTACTGTCTATAAATTTAATTATGCACTTCAACTGATCAGTCACTTAATTGTTCATTTAATAAATGAAACTGCAACCCTAACATGCATTGAGAGTTCGAACTCTTAAAGCAAATGTTTCACACACAGACAATCCACACATTAAGTGAGCTGGCTTGTGTTGTATTTACATCTTGCATGATCTCCCAAAAGCTTTGAAAAGGATTTTATTTTCTTTCATCCTCTTATGAAACACCTCCAGCACTGAATGCATGCATGAACTAACATGCCCAAACTAATTTTGCAATTCACAGGACAAACTACCGTGCTTTTTCATACTACAATGGTTCTGGTGTCACAGCCTTTGGTGTGTAAGACATTTCTGTTTTCAAGCCACCATTTGTTTTACTACTGGATTGCCTTCTGTACAGGAGATTTGACTCAGGGTCCCGCCGTACTTCACGCCTAGAAAAGTGTCGTTCCACCCATTTCAACATGGTTAGCACTGAATCAGTACTAGGCAGTCTTCTCTCTGCTGCAGTCTTGACGATATGCGATGAAGTGACACGAAAAGTGGCTGCCATACCTTTTAAGGCCTGAAAAAATAAATAAATGAATAAATAAATAAATACACAAATATGCACTGAGGAAGAGAGAAAGATGAGTCTTTCTTAAAGTAAGTCCACAAGACAATTTCACACAATACCAACAATTAAAATCTACAAGAGTGAATCAAATTTTAATTTGAAGTTTTGTTCCAGATGCACATAGGAAATTAGAATTTGTTATTCATGATTTTATTTTAGGGGTCTGTGATGCTCTAATAAGACTGAAATGCTTACACACACCCACAACCCTGTGTGGTTGCCTGTTTTATTTGTAGCATAGCGCCGCGGGGCCTCCCCCTTGTCGTAAGAGGCGAATAAAAGGAGCAGCTGTCCGCTGCCCTTTCCCCAAAGATCCCTACTTTCCTACTTACTTTTCCTCCCATCCCACGAGACCCGATAGGTGGACTGAGTAGTTTATGGGATCTTGTTCCCTATCCCTACGAAAATCCCCTTCTCACCTTCCTTCCAATTCCATTTCTGCTGGCGGAAGGTCAAGGGAAGGTCACCCCGAAAATAAACCAGTGATGGGTATGAGTGAGCCTCAAAACTTACTACCCCAAGCGAGTCGATCGTTCACGCCGAATCTCGCCACCGATTCTGGTCGGGTGAAAGCTCCGATGGTCGGTCGGCTCCATGGATTTGGGAGGGAGCCAAGCTCACAAGAGTGTCTGGGAAGAGAAGAGAAGAGTGAAGTTTCTGGAGTTGGAGAAGAAGATCGGGGATCTTCTGCATTACGTCCTGCCAAGGAATAATGTCCACGGGGAGATAAAGCGTATGGTGAGTTCCATCCGAACAGACTTTGATGAGATGGTGGACATGGAGGAGTCACTATCTGTAATTAGCCCGAAGATAGTTGAGGCGGCGGAGACGCAGACTTCACCGCAGACATGGGGTGTTGACCCGAATACTGATGGTTATGGAGGGCCCTCGACAGCAGCGGCGGAGTTGCAGCCTACGGGGAACAATGAAACGGGCCCGAAGACTGTTGAGACGCGGACGCGGACTTCGCCGCTGACGTCGGGTATTGGCCGGAATTCTGATTGTGGTAGGTCCTCGGCGGCGGCGGAGTTGCGAACCGCAGTGAACGACGTGATTGGCCCGAGGACGGTGGAGGCGGAGACGCAGACATCTGATATTGGCCCGAATGCTGATGATTG